TTTCTTTTTATTTTTGAAGACAGGATCTTTCTCTGTTGTCCTGGCTAGAGTGCAATGGTATGATCACGGCTCACTGCAGCCTCAACTTCCAGGGCTCAAGTGATCCTCCCATTTTAGCTTCGCAAGTAGTTGGGACCACAGCCGTGTGCCACTCATACCTGGCTAACTTTTTTTTTTTTTTTTTTTTTAACCTTTTGGAGAGACAGGGTCTCCTCACATTTCCCAGGCTGGTCTCCAACTCCTGGGATCAAAGAATCCTCCCACTTCGGCCTCCCAAAGTTCTGGGATTACAGGCATGAGTGGCCATGCCTGGCCTCTAAATTTCCTATAATGAACAAGAATAACTTATAAAGGAAGAAAAAATCTATTATATCATGAGGGTGGAGGGTAGGAGGAGGGAGAGGATCAGGAAAAATAATTAATGGGTACAAGGCTTAATACTTGGGTGATGAAATAGTCTGTACAACAAAGCCCCATAGCATAAGTTTACCTATGTAACAAACCTGCACGTATACCCCTGAACTTAAATAAAAGTTTAAAACAAAAAAAAACAGATTTGAAACCTTGAAATAGTAACTATACATGAACTATAGAAACAATAGAAACAAAAACAAGTTCCCAACATTACCAAACCTGTAAGTGGGTGCAAATTTATGTAACTTACAGAAAATGGAGAAACCTGATACTCAACTTATACTTAAATCTCCTATCATTCAAGAAATGAATAATGCAAAAGAAGGAAAAACATCTGAAGAAGTGCTGAGTGGGAACAAGCTGAGAGAAGAGACTTTCTGCTAGTGCTAGACAGTGTGAAACTTTAGAAGGTATCATGGTTTATGCAGGGTTAATCAAAATGGAGTAGGAAGACTGTGTGCTTCAAATACAAGGGAAATGGAGTAAGTTAAAATGATGAAAAGAATGGATCTTATTACAAAAGCACACTTATCTGAACATTTTTCCCTCTGGAAGACAATGGATGTTATGCCTACACCCAACTCCCTTTGTATCCACATCCTCCCAAGATCAACTTAGAGCAAAAAATCCTGCACCAGACAGCCTCAGCCAAACACCATACCAAACACATGGGATAGATTTAATTGATTCTTATATAATTTTCAGTTGAAACTTACTCTGATCTAAACTTCAGGCTTCTTTAAATGTCTGCAAATGTTCTCTCTCTAAAGTTACCTACGCATTTGTTTTCGTTTTGTTTTATATTGTTATTGTACAAAGTAGGAAGATGTAAAGATGCCTCACTGTAGGAGAAAGGTAACAGCTAGAATACAGAATCATGTCCCTTCTTCACCAGCCTCCCCAAGGCAGATCCTTAGAAGTTTCCACAGAAAAGAATTTGCCTTAAATATTTTTCAAACACTTTAATAACACAGACTGAGCTAAGTCAATTGAGAGAAAGAAGTTAACCAAGAAGCTCTGCTCAAAAACCCTAAAAGGTATGTAAAGCTTATAACTATAACAACACAAAAAGGTTTAAATTGAAAATGATCTAAGAATTTGAAAAAGATCTAAGAATCAATTAATATATATGCCAGGTGATTGGTACAGTATCTGGCTGGGGGTGTTTTTAATCTAAATTGGATCTGGGAAGATGTAATTCTTTAGCATATCACTCAAAGGAAATGCTAATAATAATCCTATTATTAATTTCAATAGGCAACCACAAGATTACCCCCATACCTGCAAATATACCATCTATTCCCCAAGACCTGAAGGCTGTGTCAAAATCCAACTTTTCTAACTCGTCATTATGTTTATAACAAATATAAATGAACTTTCCTGTATATTAAGCTAGAGTTTCATGCTTGAGTTTTCTGAATCTTCTGTCATACAAACAGCAATGAATATAAATCTTGTCCATATTTACTGGTGCAGAGGTTAGAATGCATTTTATCCTATGTGTCAAATTCAAAGCCTGAAACAGCTTGCTGTCAGCTTCGGAAACCATTTTTACAAGTATGGCATATTGCCTCAAGCCAACCAAATACTAAAGCATGTTGGGCTGCCCACACTTCAAATCATTTGGAATGTTCTCTTGTTTTGTGGTTGCAAAAGTACCTATTTCGTGGATCATCTAGTTCAAATTAAGGGCACATCTAACCTTAAACAGAAAATTCCCAGGAAACTGAAACTATAACTGACCAGGATCACATCAGCTCTGAAGGTCCATGATCTCAGGCTCATAGTCAAACATGTCATATGTTATGTTTCGAAAGGTGAGGAAATACAACATAAACTCTGTGAAACTCATTAATGTTTTCAAGTAAACACTAAGAATTCATCCTAAATATACATATGTCATAGTTGCAAAAAAAGGAAAAACTGCCACCTGCAACAAAGTAAAGGTCATTTGCAGCAAATATAAACACATTTCTGGTAAACAGCTAGCAAATTAAAGAAAAAAAAAACAGCCTAATAGATTATTTCATTTCTAATTTTCATACATATGTTGAAATGTAGCAGCTTCAGCTGTGAAATGTGGTAACAAATATACCAAAGGTGAATGAAATAGTTTTGCTTGCAGTAACTGGAGCACTGTATTTATACACATTGTTTTTCCAAGCATTAATGGGTCCATCTCTCAAATCAAGCACTTAAGACATCATTTCACAAATTTGGAGTACCAGAACTTCCCCAAGGTTTGCCTCTCATGCTTTTGAGACATACTCTCTAAATCCCAGACCTATGAAGAATGTCGTAAAAGTTATTTTTGAAGTGTTAAAAAAAGAAAACACTATATTGACAAACTAAATTTTACCTAAAATTTGCATACTGAAGCTTAAGAAATACCTGGTTCAATTATCCATTAGTGGGGCAATTCAATCCATTTGAATAGATAAATGTGGTTAGGATATGGCTCCCTGATCCAAGCCTTGTTAAGAGTTCAAGAACATATTGAAAACCAGTGCTTTTTAACTGATATTGACTAAAATGCTGAAAAGATGACAAGCCCTAGCAATAACTATTTTTAGCTGATCTTTTAGACCTGCTGTTCTTGGTGCACACGTATTATTAGGTTCCTAAATGGTTCTCGTGTTTTTTATATATTCAATAGTATATATAGATATGGTATATATAATTATACTATATATGGTATGGATACATAAATATAGGTATATGTGTGATATGGATATACACATATATAAATCCACGTGTGTGTATCATTTCCAAAAGACTCATTCACAAAACAATCATCCCAAATTAAATACACCACATACAAAATCTCAAGGTGCTCAAATAACTCTAGAAACTAAGTCACATCCACCTAAGAACACTAAATTCTTACTTTCTTGCTTGTAGTCCAGCAAACTTAAGGTAAAATAGTAACTACATTCGGGTTTTAGTTATATTTATTTTTCCTAAGCAAATTTTCTCCAAGAATGCTCGGTTTGCTGAAAATTTTCAGAAAATGCTTGAGATGGTGAGTTGTTTTCCTTTTTTTCAGTTTTGGTACTGGTATATTTTACAGTAAAGTGACAAAATTGTACTTAGAGATGAGAAATCTATATCCCAAACAAAATTTGACAGTATTAATGGTTATTCTGGGACGATTTTCTTCGAAAACTTCCCACTGCAAACAATGTTTCCTACACTATCCCCTGTCTGCCTTGGTAGTATACTTTTCACACACAAAATTGTATGTAACGCATATACCAGAAATACTTCAAGGCACTCTTTTATTTAAGCTCCCACATTCTGTTTTTATTGTTCAAAATGATCTGCATGTTCAAAATTGATGTGAAATCAATTATGTCACTAACATTTTGGCTATGCAACACTTTACAAAACATAGAGACTTTTCATCAGCACCTTTGATTTGTAGTTGGCAATGTGGTGAATAAGGCAAACAGGAATAGAGGTGTGGCAGAGACCTGGGGGTGTGAGAAAATGGGGCTTCCTTTACCCACAGGACATGTGGGGAAAAAAAAAAAAAAACTTAACCACGTCTGCGATAAATGTACTTTTACGTTAGGTTTCATCAAATGAAACACGTATTACATACCTCGTCCATAGATTAGAATGTCTGAAGCAGTATCAGCTTATGCAAGAAACATGAGGTTCTGTCCATGATTCTTAGAAACACTACTCCTAGAACTGGTTGAAGGCTTCTTAATCCAACACATAATGAAAAACAAGCTCACCAACAAAGAGAAATCCTATTTTAAAAACATATGGTTTAAACTTCATCCTACCTCACTAAAAACCTGCATGCTACTACAGGGATGCCTGTATTCCCTAAGTGTCGAGACTGAGTCTAAACATTTCATCAAAGACTAAATAATAAATGAAAATTTGGGCTAGCCCTGGAGGAAATTTTCATAAAGATATGTTGTTTGGTTTTTTTTTTTTTTTTAAGCACTCTGAGCCTCCACGAATATTTTATTATTAAAAAGAAGAATGTTTCCGAAAAGAGCAGAGAAGACTGAAATCAGGGCGACGCTGAAAACCAGCCAACACACACAGCGCTGCAGAATGAACCACATGGAAGAGGGAACCACTCGTTTAACTGTTGGAGCGCGAAGGGACCTTTCGCTCCCGCCAACAAGGTAAATTTCAGCGCTCAAGCAGCGAGACCACCGTGTAAAAGTTCAAGGGGAGCCCATCTCCTTCCTCTTACTCCCAGCACTGAATTCTCGACCAGAACAGCCCAGCAGGGAAGGAGCCGGCGCGGGGTGCACCTCTGCAGGCGACCGTTTTCCTAGAAGGCCTAACCGCTCAGACGGGCAGGGGAGGGGGGCAGGCGGCCCGGGAGAAACCGAGTCCCTGCCGGGCCCCCACCGTGTGGCGCCGGCCGAAATAACTCCAGTCCAGCTGCAAAATTCCTCTTGAAAACCCAAGCTTCTCCGGCACAACTTCGGTCTCCCCAGCCTCATTTCCCCCCCACGCACACTGCCAAACCCCTCGCCCTGCCCAGCGCGGCGGATGCAAGCGCTCCCCGCCCTGGGAGGCTACCTGTCCCGCGGGCCGGAGACCCCCCGCCTCACCTCAAGCGAAAAGCAGCGCGCGGGCGCCCGCGGAAGAGCCCAGGGTGCATGGCCCCATGTAGTCCCTCCCGGAACTTTCCTGACATAGCACTTCTCTCCTCCGCTGCAGAGAACAACGCTGCCAGGCGGAGGAGGAAGGAGGACGACGAGGAAGAGGTGGTGGCGGCTATAGAGGCGGCGGTGGCGGGAGCTGGAGCTGAAAGTGAGGAGCATCGCGGACGAGCGCCGCCGCCTCGCGAGCTACCGAGGGGTTCCCGCCCCCAGGGTAACCAACGCTCCCTCTTAAAGGCGCCGGCCCGGGTTTTAGACCGTGAGGTGAGTGGGAGGAGAGGAGAAAGAGGGAGGAGGCAAGTAAAGAGGGAGGAGGCAAGTAGAGACTGAGAGATCCCGGGAGGCCACGCCCGAGCTGCCCTAGGGCGGATCGCCCGCCCCTTTCCGCCGCTCCCCGCCTTGACCCCCTCTATACTCAGCTCGCGTCGCCCCTCTACCTGGGCAAAGGCATGGAGGGTACCGCAAGTGCGCCCGCCCGGCACTGAGGCAAGCCTCGCCGTTGGCCAGCGCCCTGAACCCCGCGCCCCTCTCCTAGAGGGTCGCTCCGCCCCTAATCGCTGGCAGTCCTTTTAGGGTCCTGGTTTCCCGCTCCCACGGCCCCCAAAGTGCACCTCCAGTGGCGACTGCCCAGTGGAATTGCGTTCCCCGATGCTGCTTGCGTTTCTGCCTTGGTTATTCTTCCTCATTTCCAACACAATCTTGAGGGTCTCACCTAGGCGCCCAGAAGACTGAAATAACTAAAAGCCCAGCTGGGGCCCCTAGACCGACCCCTGAAGGTGTCCGTGATGTGTGGCAGGGGAGACTTGCCAGGTATCCTTCTTTCTCTGGTGCTCTGTTCTCTTCCAATGGCCAGTTGCCAGCTGGCCTCCCACTGGATTTCTAAAACGATTCACTTTCATCAACAGATGGGCTGTAAAAATGCCAAACAACTCAGGAAGACCCCCTAGAAAAAATATCTCCTTGAGACAGTGGGAAATGCTGCTTTCAGTGACAAGTGATATTTTCAGCTATTACCAACATATGTGATCATTACTGAGGCCACAGCCTCCGGTGGTGATGCCCAGGAGGCTCCCAGCATCAGCAGCTATCATCACCCTAGGAAGAGACCACAGCAGCAGTGGGCATGAGCAGCAGAGGGTTGCTACTATCCACGGACTTGTTTTTCTACCTCATGGTTCCAACTCTTGCTTCTTGGACCTATGGGTCTTCAGCATAGTGTTGTGCCGTTTGTACTCTGCACTATGTCCCCTGGCTCAGGAGGTGGGCAGGCAATTTGGAGTTAAGATCTAGCTTGGGTTCCAGAGCACCAGTCCTAGCACAAAGCTCAGAGAGTGGCATTTCTTCATTCACACAAAGGCACTTGCATGGGCCATCACTACCCTGAGACTGGACTAGAACATCTCAGTTCTTTGTCTCCTGCCACCTACAGCTGTGAAACAAGCACTTGTGTTGAACTTGAAGAAGAAGAAGGCAAGAAGAGACTATGCAAAAGGTTGGAGAAACTTCTGTAACCAGATGGAGAGGAAATAAGCCCTGGGCTCTAGAAAAGCAGGAGACATGATCTTGCCTGTACCAAACTTTTAAGATGGAAAAAGAGATTATCAGTGAGAAAAAGTGAAGTCAGGATAGTTGGATGTGCCCGGCACACAACCCAAACTGAATTAGCAAAACCTACAGCAAAGGGTATTGGAATTTATTGGCTCATATGTTTATAAATCTCACAAGTAGAACTGGCAAACACACACACACAAACACACACACAAACATGTTCTTAGAAATCATTTTTTCTCCTCCACATGCTCAAAAAGCGTCAGGACTCAATTTCTCTCCCTGTCTTCATTGTGCTTTCATTGCACTGGTTTTATTTTCTCTAAACAGAGGGAAGACCTACATCTCTGGTCTTAACATCCAACCTCCTTAGCAATTAGTTGCATCAGAAAGAGAGCAAGCTGAAGAATGTTTCACCAGACCCATGTGGATCCTGCGCTCATCTCTGAACTAACCATTGTAACTATGGGATGGAATGCACACTGCCAGGCTGGGGTCATTTGCCTGTAGCTACAAAAAGGTCAAGGGAAATAGCTGTATGTACCCCTCATATATACCCAAACCACAGGGACCGAGTAGAAAGAAAAAGGTTTCCCAAAGGAAAATTAAAGTGTTGTTAATAAAGAAGGAAAGAGAATGTTGAGTAGATAAAGACTATAAATGCCCACTACAATCCCCATTCCCCAGTATACACACATAACCACCACTGTCACAAAGGGGGCTGACAACCTCTCTGGCTCCTTTACCATAGTCTCAGGATCAGAAGAATGAGAATGCAGATGGTCATGGAGGTGCTAGTGATCGAGCCAACCAGCCACATCCTTTGGCCTCCAGAGCCACTGAAAAGATCCTAAGTGATTTTTGTGACATTTCACAAACCACCTGTAAACAAACGATATATAAACCATAATTGTATTCAATTATTTTTGTCCCTAAATAATAACCCTGCCTCCATGTACCTCAAGCCCACATTCATTATTAGGCCTTTTTTAGTTCTGCAATCAACTCAGTTTGATAAGAGCTCATAGAAATTCCCTGATACATATACACACACACACCATATGTATACACACACTGTATATATGCACACACTGTATATATATACACACACACTGTATATATATACACACACACATATATGTGTATATATTCATTCAACTTAGAGAGGGAAAAGTGGCCTACAAATAATCACATTTCAGTATCCAAGTGCCAAAGAACCCAGCTACGTTTTTAAACTTCAGTAACTTTATTTTTTCAGAGATAAAGATGTTGTCTTTATCTCTGAAAAGGTGTTTATATTTTGCCTACCAAAAAGTGACAAAAAGTTTCAGACGTTTTTTGTCTCATACAAGAACTTTTCTTTTACAGTAGTTGCTAATAAAAAAACAGTTTTGTATTTTTTCTTCATTTGTGCATTTTATAAAAGTCCTCATATATCATAGAAATATAGACTAATAAACTGGAAGAGACTTTAGAATAATAGAACATTTCAGAGCTGAAGAAATGAAAGCTCAGAGGTTGACTTGTGTAGGGTACATAGCTGTTTTTTAGTATCTGTGATGTGTCTAACACACGTGTGCTTTTGTTAGACATTTCAAAAGATATAGAAGCAAAAACATAGAATGTAGTCACTGTCAAAGAGACATAACTATCTAAGATATAAGACAATTATAGAACATCACAATATATCATATAATTTAGTGTAAAAAATGTGTGATGATCTCTTATGTGTTAAAAATAGACATCAGAAAAGGAGACACCATGGACTGGAATAGTCTTGGAAACACTTTCCAGCGAGGAAGCAATTAGATGGTCTTTTTTAAATGCAGAGAAAAAAGGAAAGGTTTTTCCAAGCAAGAAAGCAAACAAAATGAGAAGGCATTGATGGGAAAAAGATCTTGCCACTTGCAGGAACAGAAATGAAACCTGTACTGTCATGGTTTAGAAGAGTGTTTCAAACTCCAAGTTATGAAGTCATGTTACTGGGTTTTGAGTAGTATTATTATTATTTTTGTTTAATTAATTAATATTATACTTTAAGTTCTAGGGTACATGTGCACAACGTGGAGGTTTGTTACATATGTACACATGTGCCATGTTGGTGTGCTACACCCATTAACTTGTCATTTACATTAGGTATATCCCCTAATGCTATCCCTCCCCCCACCTCCACCCCATGACAGGCCCCGGTGTGTGTGATGTGCCCCATCCTGTGTCCACGTGTTCTCATTGTTCAGTTCCCACCTATGAGTGAGAACATACAGTGTTTGGTTTTCTATCCTTGTGATAGTTTGCAGAGGATGATGGTTTCTAGCTTCATCCATGTCCCTACAAAGGACATGAATTCATCCTTTTTTATGGCTGCATAGTATTCCATAGTGTATATGTGCCAAATTTTCTTAATCCAGTCTATCATTGATGGACATTTGGGTTGGTTCTAAGTCTTCGCTATTGTGAATAGTGCCACAATAAACATATGTGTGCATGTGTCTTTATAGCAGCATGATTTATAATCCTTTGGGTATGTACCCAGTAGTGGGCTGGCTGGGTCAAATGGTATTTCTAGTTCTAGATCCTTGAGAAATTGCCACACTGTCTTCCACAATGGTTGACCTAGTTTACAGTCCCACCAACAATGTAAAAGTGTTCCTATTTCTCCACATCATCTCCAGCACCTCTTGTTTCTTGACTTTTTAATGATTGCCATTCTAACTGGTGTGAGGTGGTATCTCATTGTGGTTTTGATTTGCATTTCTCTGATGGCCAGTGATGATGAGTATTTTTTCATGTGTCGGCTGCATAAATGTCTTCTTTTGAAAAGTGTCTGTTCATATAGTTTGGCCACTTTTTGATGGGGTTACTTGATTTTTTCTTGTAAATTTGTTTAAGTTCTTTGTAGATTCGGAATATTAGCCCTTTGTCAGATGGGTAGATTGCAAACATTTTCTCCCATTCTGTAGGTTTCCTGTTCACTCTGATGGAAGTTTCTTTTGCTGTGCAGAAGCTCTTTAGTTTAATTAGATCCCGTTTGTCAATTTTGGCTTTTGTTGTCATTGCTTTTGGTGTTTTAGACATGAAGTCCTTGCCCATGCCTATGTCCTGAATGGTATTGCCTAGGTATACTTCTAGGGTTTTTATGATTTTAGGTCTAACATTTAAGTCTTTAATCCATCTTGAATTAATTTTTGTATAAGGTGTTAGGAAGGGATCCATTTTCAGCTTTCTACATATGGCTAGCCAGTTTTCCCAGCACCATTTATTAAATAGGGAATCCTTTCCCCATTTCTTGTTTTTCTGAGGTTTGTCAAAGATCAGATGGCTGTAGATGTGTGGTATTATTTCTGAGGACTCTGTT